GGTAGAATCGAGGTTTACACCCTGGGGCCGCAGGGATGGGATGGGATGGGATGGGATGGGATGCCGGCGGCGCAGCGCGGGTGCGTTTCGCTCAGACAAATCTTGGTGCAAAAAACCGAAATCCCATCCCATCCCCCGGCTGGGGGAGAGGGGGTTTGCTCCGGGTGAGCTTTCTCAGCGCAGGGATCAGCGCTGGCTCTCTGTCCCCTCCATCCCCTGATCCCTCTCCTTTCCCCCGGCACATCCCCGTGGGGCCGCAAGGTCGCTGCAGGCTCTGCCCTCTCTCCTCTCTCGCTCGCSGAGCAGCGATCCCTTTGTGTTTAGGGATTTTACACCGCTCGGCGAGGCCGGGCAGAGGGAGGCAGAGCTGTCCTAAACCTCCTGGGCCAGGGAGGAGGGAGAGGAGCAGTCCCCAGTGAACCCCGCACTCCCGGGAGCGGCTCCGGGACCACGGGGCGCTGCTCTCCCGTCCCTCGCAGAAGGCTCTGCTTCCCTTTTTTTTTTCTGCTTTTCTCTCACAATTTGGTGCCGTTTTGACTTGAAAACTGCGCTGTTTCTTGTGGTTCCCAGAGCCCTGGGCACAGCTCGCACACCTCGCAGGAGAGCGCCCCAAGGTAAGAGACCCAAAAAGGGTCGGGGCTGCTTTAAAACGTGTCCGCCAGTAAAACCACACTTAACGCTTTGAAAAACGTGTTTCTGAGGTCTCACATCAGTTCCCAAAGTTCGTTTGAATCACCCTGCCTTTCCAGCACAATTTATTTTCATTAAAACGCTGTAAATAACCTACGATTTTCTAAGACTCTTTGGTTAAAATCTTCCTTCGGCTTCCTTAAAAGCCTTCCTCGGCGTCTGTCTCCCAAGGCAAGTGATTCAGAGACTTTCGGAAATAGGGAAAAGAATTGTTTTTAGGGCTTTTTTTTTTTTTTTTTTTTTTTTTTGGAGACATTCCTTCGTCTGGAGAAGGGCGCACAGCCGGGGGACCTGCTGGAAACACATGTGCCCTCCTCCGAGTGGGGAATATGCGACATCCCGAGTGGCAGAGACCTGTCAAGGAGCTGCATTAGAGGGGAGGGGAAAAAAGGAGCCACGGGGAGGGGGATGAGCGGTGTAGGGCGGGTGATGGAGACSTACAAACCCTGCTCCTCGGCCTAAATAACGGCGTTTAGTTTTCCCCGGATTTGCTGAAGAAATGGCTTCTTTCTCGCTTTTCGTCTGAAATGCGTTTCGGTGCGTGTGAATCTCGGTGGGGTGGTTCTGTCGGAGCTTTAGGCCGGGGTGAGAGGGCTGCAGGGCTCCGCAGTGCCAGGCTGATTTGGGCACCGTGGGCTCACTCTGGGAACGAAAGGAGGTGTCTTTCCTCCCTACCCTCCCACACGCGYCCCTTGCACTTGTTTCCCCAGAAAAAAAATTGAAAAACTTGGTTTTGCCCCAGCGCTACCCTAAGCAGCTCTGCACCTTCGGGGAGCGGCGGAAAAACACGCGACAAAAAATAATCCCTTCCTGAAAATTCGTGTGTCTTTTCCACCGCTTTTGCACCGTAGCTCGACCCATGTTAATCCTCTCCCCTACTTCATAATATTTATATTTTAGTTTGAACTTGTGTTGCATAAACCCAGCCGCGGCTTTCCCCGCTGTATTTTCCCTATTTTACTTCGCTTATTTTTCCGGGGTCCCACCAGCTAATGGAAACACACGCTTCTGTCTCTTTTTCAAAAGCAGCTTTTRTTGTTTTTCACTTCCACGCGTGACCGAGGGGCGTGGGAGCAGCTTCAGACCCGCCTCAGCCGGGAGGATGTCAGGGCAGAGCGAGCAAGAGAGGAAAAATAGAAAACTGAATATTATCCAGGCAAACAGCCGGGATCTGTACCTAGCGGCTTTGTTTTCTCTGTAGCTGGAGTGACAAAAAAGAAGCGGGAAAGGGGGAAAAAAAAATTTTTATAGATATAAAAAACCCTTCGCAAAGAGAATGCCCGCCCAGCTCCACGGACCCGCATCGTTTTGAAGTGAAAATTCAACCCCCTCGAGACGTTGCTTCTGCTTCTGCCAAACACCGATTCCGCCGGCAAGGGCAAGTAATTCATGGCATAAATGACGTTTTAAAAACACCCCCTGATCCGGCACCGCTGGGGGGTAAAGCAACTCTGGGGTGTTTTGCGTGGGGATTAGCCAGCAGCAGCTTTTGGGAAACATTTGGGTGCGGCGGAGAGAAGTAGAGAATTGTTACCCCTCTGAGTTTAGAGTTACGGGTTTCCTTCTAGCTCCCCGTTCTTCAAACAGTTAATTCTCCCGGCCGGTATTCCAGGACTCAGATGGCCAAAATTCCTCTCCCTCAAGCCCGAGTCTCCCTCCCCTCCCTATTGGGTCGCAGCTTTTGGGTCTCTCCCGAGCTCTCCCTCCTATTGGCCGGGGACATTTTT